AAGCCCCAACTCCGATCCTTCGTTGGAGTATCTTGGTCTGCTCACTGTGGGCTCCGGCAGCAAACCCTCGAACAAACCGTGGGCTCAAGGCGAAAGAAGCCCTCCTCAGCCTGAGCCTGTGCTTTCGGGCGGCTAGGGCCAGGGTTTCTCTCCCAGGGTTAAGGACCCGTACTAGGGGCCAATGGTTTCAACCTTAGGGTTAAGGCTTCGGCTTTGAAGCTCGTTTGCGCGTTGTAAAGGTTCTACCATGTCAAAACCGGAGCCAAAGCAATGTGCAAAGCCCCCCATCCGGGGACCATGGAGTTGCCCGCACCACCACGGAGCAAGTACGAAGAGGCGCATTGTCCAGAAAAATCGGGCTTACGGTGATCAGACAAATTTGGGGAGGGAGGGCGTTCTCGGCGCCCGGGCTCTGAGAACCACGTGATGGGTTGGCAGGGGTCCTGTAGTATTATGCTATTTTTAATAATATAGTATGATTAGTATTATTAGTGGCCCAACTATATCTGCAGCTTCATGATCAAGGACCTAAGTGCCGACTTAGGGCTGGGGTGGTTGAGGACTTCTTATTGAAGGTCCAGGATTTAGAATTGAGGGTATAGGACTTCTGCATTACCGCTGATTTGTCGTGAAAAGTTCAGCTTTGGTGGATCAGGGTTTTGCAAGCTGAATCTGCTGGATTGTCGTGTCAGTCCGATCTGGAGACATCGCAGGTGCCCATCCATTTGCCAGGCATGTCCCCTCTGTTCGAAACGTGCTCGAGACACCGGCCCCCACAAGTCCTAAAAGACTCAGACTAGACAAACCCGAGCTACCGACCCCCCGAAACAGCCCGATAGCCCGTCTTTCAGGTCCGCTGACGGCCCCTCGCTCCACGACGCAAGCCGAGGCAACCTCGCTTTTTCGCATGCTTTGATTTCGTATTGAGTGTGAGTTCGATCTCGTAGTGTTTCGGTGTCGCAAGCTACTCTTCTAATGCCCTGCTGCGACGGTTAGAAAGATGATCCGGCTGCTGGGCCCTATGCCCCCTGCCCCCCTGTCCCCTACCCCCGCCCCCTGCCCTTGTCCTCTGCTCCCTGCCCAGTATGTGCGTGATTTACATGCATGTAGAGTGTGCATAATATATAGATATGTACATCTACAGAGAGGACAACATGCACTGTAATTCTGTACTCAGTCTTCGCCAACTGGGGCAACATTTCGGACAGTTTTTTGCAAGGTATTTGTCGAGCTTGAGATTGGGTGGTTACATGCTTCGGTACTTTGCAATATGTAATGGTCAAGTACTGGGATTTGTGGAAGTAGGCTGACGGCCCGATTTGGTTCTTTCCGGGATGCCAGCGGCGGTACAGTATCCCAAATTATGATCCTCTTTTGCCGGTGAACCTTCGAGTTGTGCTAAGTTGCAGTTCCAACAATCCTCTAAACCCAGGCGCTCACTGAAAACTCTAAACCGTGAAATCACAATTCTCAAATCTCGCTGACAGTTCTGGCCGTCAAGAGGAAGCTTCAAAAGCAAGAAACCGGAGTGTTGAAAGCTGAGCGGTTGCGGCAATTGCATGTCCTGTTGTCCGGCTGAGCCCGAGCTTGTGCAGACAGGTGCCCTCTCAGAAGCTTAGGCACCTGAACTTGCCTTACATCAGGTATGCCGCTTGGACCGGTGAATACTGCGAGAGAATCTCTCTGCCATCTCTTGCGGCTCGAGCTGCGGTTTACTGCCAAATTTACCTAGTTGTTTTCGAGATGAGTTGTTGCAATGCGAAATTCTTGCTGCTCGGCCCTTTTCAGCAAAAGTGCTAAGGCCATCCGAAAGCTAGTTTGGAATCTTTGGGTTCGTGGATGGGTGAGGGCAGCGTGCCCAGCTTGTCTGACTTGCTCTCGCAAGATTGGTATGTCTGGTCTTGGGGATTCTGGGGTCACGGTGCGCGCATTGTTGTTTCGAGCGTACATCGCACCTCAGCCGCATGAGCCTGCCGACCCTTAGTTTGGCGACCTGATGCTGAGGTTGTTGTTCTTCCTTCGGGTTGTCGTCGAGAACCTCCGCGATGGAGCAGAAAGCTTTGCTCTGGAAGATGAGGATTGGGGTCGACGCAAGGGGACGACCACCACGACAATGGAGCCTGCTACCAAGGAAGAACGGCTGGCTGCATGGTTGGCAGACAAAGATGTATGCTCTCGGTGGGGTGCCGTGAGTGCGACAAGTGTAAAGAATGCTAGCAAGGCTGTATGCGAGTGCCCAGAACGGAGCTGGTCAGTCTCGCTTGGCATCTCAATCAGGTGTGGTATCAGGCGTCAGTGCTCTTCTCTCCATCGAGTAAGTCGGCAGTTTCACCCCATTGACACTTGCAAGGAAGAGGGTGGCGCTTGCGGATTCTGGGCTCCAGGATGCAAGTGTCTGCCTGATACGGATTGCAATGGAGAGCTGAATGAAGCATTAGCTACCGCCACGGTCGGTGTCGCGGCTGTTGACTTTTGTGCCACGCTGCTAGACGCTGTCGAAAATGGTGACAGCTGGAAACAATTCAAAAGGCGGGCAAAGTTTTTTCTGAGGATGGCAAACGCTGCTCTAAACCCATATATGTATTGGAAGAATGGTGGCTACAATCCGCATTATGCTGATGCTAGAATTGCACAGAAATTGGCGAACGAGACCAAGGACTTGCTTGCCGAACATGATGCAGAGGAGTACTGCCAAGCAGCCGCAGCCGGAATTGAGAATGCCAGTGATGCGGCTTTGGACCTTGTCAATAATGAGACCCTTCTCGCCGGTGATGTACGGGGGCCGGACCGCTTGAACCTGATGAACACTTTGCAAGGACAACCAAACACCACCTGGCAACACTCCTTGAGACATGTTTGCAAAGAGGAGTGCAGCGACATTGTCAGGGAAGTGAAGAAAGAGGCGGAACACATGTTTGTTGAACAGCTGGGACACACGCATCCATTCCAAGAGGTATGTGCGCACTTTGTGGTGCGGAAAGTCGAGAACAAAGTGCTGGGGTGTTGTGCGTATCAGTGCGGCTGGAACAACAAGACATGCACTCTTTGGCCATTCATGGCCGAGGCAGAGAGAGATAGTTGGAAAAGCGAGTGTTGCTCGGAGTACAACACGGTGAGATTTTCTGAGCGGGAGAAAATGTGTAACAGTGTCCTCCAAACAGACGATGATCGAAAGCTCCTCCAAGAACATGACAAAGAGCCTGCGGATCCAGGCGAGTCGTCTGAGGTTGGCCAGGAACAGACTTTGACTTGGACTGCGAAGAGTGTTGGCGAGCGCTTCGGCGCAATCGCTTGGGCACAGGAAGGTGCAGAGGTTGATCCAGATTTCCTCAAGTCACAGCCGCTGTCGGTTGAAGAAGGCGAGAGCATGGGTTTCTGGCGCCTCACAGCAAAGCCGACATCGACTTCGGTGCTGCAAACCGGGACTGTCTGTGATGATCCTCCCCCTGGATGCGGTTTCGATAAACAGCAGGAATACACGAAGTGCTTGGAGAGCCGGAAGTGGAAGTTCCTACCGCGAATGCCGGCCGGGCGGGTGAAGACGGAGACGCACAATGGCGATCCCCTTCGCACAACCTCTGCCTTAAAGTGTGAGAGTCATGCAACCAGCAAGAGCTCCCAGTATGCTTTTCTGGACATGAAAGAGGGCGAGTGTCGCGTTCTGAACCAGTGCGAGTCTTGTGCTCATGGAAAGGACATTGCGCGGAGTCGTTACAAAGATGTAATGCAGGCGGCCTTTATACGTGAGTTTGACAGATGAATGCAGAAGTGTTCCAGTACGAGCTGCTCCATACATCCGACGTGGCTGGGTTCGAAAAGTTCGCTTCGTGTGACCCGTGCTTCGTAGTAGGACCTGCACTTTGCACTGCACATGCACCGTAGCACTTGAACATTTGCGTTTAGCAAGATTCATGCGAGAAAGTTGGTTGACACCCAAGCTAGTACCCTCCCTTTCCGCTTGAGCCCAGACGTTCCAGACGTATGTTCAGGCAATCGACAGGAGGCTGGAACCTAAGGGGTGGCAAGTCATGTAGGTATTCAAATTTGCAGACTGTAACCATGCACTGACGATCGGAAGTATGTCCACCGTGCGTGCTGTCTTACAACCCCTTCTTACAAACCCTAAAACAAGCCCTAATCCCCCCCGATCGGTTAAGCGCATCGGGCCAATCCCTCAAGCTTGATGGCAATCCTAAGGACACGTGGGAGACACAAAAAAAGTTCAGAGAACGAACACTAATCCCCGAACCCCCAGCCCTGAAGCCGGAAATCCTGGAACTTCGCATTCTATACCCGAAACCCTGAACCCCCCCCCAAAAAAAGAACCCCAATCCGAAAGCTTGAGCCAGAAGCTTTTCAGGTTTCTCCAACGAGACCTGGCGGAAGACCTTGCCAGCTGACTTTGGAGACCTTGAAGCAAAAGTCCCGATGCGAAGGGTCACACCGGTTGAGAGTTCGGGGTGTGGGTAGTAGGCTTTTGGGTACTCGGGGTTTCTGTTTGAGGGTTTATGGGTCATCTCGCAGGAGATCTTGGAAGAACCCGATCCCGTGCATCTTGGACTTTGTGCCTGAGGGCCAATCCCTGTAATTGCCGGCGCTACAGCCCAAGCGCCTTAAGACGCCAATCTGGGCCACAAGTCTTAAAGTCCGCGTTTCCTACTTTTCCTTCCTAGCGAGGTGAAATTCGAGGAGCATGAGACCCATCTTGGGTGGTTGCATCAGCCGCAGGTCTGCCGCGGTTTAGGGCAGGTCCAGCTGTTAATATTCAGGCAGAAATCCCTTCTGTTTGGGTTGTGCCACTGCGAGAAGGATCCTGTGTTGCATGCCATACTCTGCGAGCCTTTGCAGGCAGAGGGCATGCTGCAGACAGTGTGATTGCAGCCATTTGCGGCCCAAACGGAGCGACTTGCAGCGTTCCCAACAAACTTGAAGTCTGACATATGCTAGAATCTTGACTGCAATTATAAAGGATTTTGGCCTTCGCTTTATGAGCATTGTGCATGAAATTCACGGTGTGGCAGGTGACTTCATGCCTGTGGGCGGTGAAGCTGTTGTACTCAGTCACCGAAGGTGTTCGCACAGATTGGCAAGCTGAAAAGACAAGCGCCAACCACATCAGTTGCCTAACGAACGCAACTGTGACGCTGGACGCAGATTCAGACTGGTTTTCGTCGTGGTCACGTTTAGGAGCCTAGACCCTTAAGACTAGGACTTTAGGCAGCGTTTCATCTTGCAGCGTTCATCTCGAAGGACAAGCCATTCAGAGTTCGACTTTCCTTCTCTGATCCTTGATGACCCCGGCTTCAGCTATTTCCGATCCTTAGAATTTTTCCTCGCGCATGACGCGTTCTGTGGCCAGCCGCTTACGGAGGTTACCTTACCGAGGGTGGCCAAATCCCTGGACGTGAAGAAGGCCCAGCTCAGGCAGCGCCTCAAGGTCAAGCAGCTTCAACAGGGGCTCAAGTCAATATCTAAAACGGACGAGACATTTCTCCGGCAGGAGTTGAAGATGTTTGCCCAGGCTGAGGATGCACATGTCGCTCCAGCTGTAGAGCTTCATATGTTCCCTTCGGATATGCAAAATCTCAAGGCTCCGTGGAGAGTGTTGCTCATACCTCGAGCCAAGGAAGTTTTTGGGCAAAGGCTTTTCTTGTGCCAGCAAGCAACGCAACAGGAACCATGCATTGCAGAGCTGCAGTTTGAGCCGTTGCCTTTCCGACTGCAGACATGGTTTGGCTACTGGGATTCTTATCTGGATACCCATAGATCTACACCAAACTCAGTTCTTCTGCTGGCCGAAATAGGCTTGGTGACAGGCGTCGCGGCTTTTGCCACAAGCGTGGTGGTCATCACCGTGATCTGGTGGGGCCTGGGCCACTCAAAGGACAAGTCTGATTTGGCAGCGGAGTTTTTGCAGGCAGAATATCCCAAGCAGTACCGCTTGATCCAGCATGCTTGTCCAACTCCCGATGCTGATTGTAAGGGTGGACAGCAACCCCTAGAGGCAGGTACGGAAGTGGAGGTTCTCGAGGTGAAAATTGACCAGCGATGCTCTGGACTCAGCGCCGTCGCCTGCGGAGACTGGGAGGAGCTTCTCCGCAGGCTACGCGGGCGGTCGGGAACTGCGGTTTGGGGCCGCATAGAGTCGTGCGATCAGCAGAGTTGGCTGATGCTGTGTGATATAGATGCTGGGCTGGTGAAGGTCATTGAGAGCCAGGTGCAACTCGACGCAAAATATCGGGCACTGCCCATCCTGGTCCCGTCATATTCCACGTTCATCGGCGAGACCTTAGTTTTGCTAACGTCTTTCTTATCTTCTGTCTGGTGTGTGGTGGAGACAGTTGGCAGAGTTTCGGCTCTTGTGCTGGTGTTGCAGCTTTACTTGATACACAGCTTCGTCCTGAAGCAGCGCAGAGACATGGTTTCGCTGGGGTTGGAGTACGAGAATTTGCTGCAGACGCGTGGAATGTTGCTCCAGCTTCCAGAGAGGTACACAGAATCGCGCATAGTCTATTGTCTAATGTCTTCAGCGGTGGTGCAAGTTGCCCTGTATGTGTTCGGACAGTGGCGTGCAGCACTGAACTTCATCGTCAGCTTCCTTGTGTTTGTTGCGCTGCATGTTCAAGCTGTCCGGACAGTCATTTCGGGACTTGGTTGCTGGAGAACCCCCCAGATGGAAGTGAGTGAGTTTCATGCTTTCCGAACTCAGCAGCTGGAAAGAACTTTGGAGAGACCAGCGAAGCTCTCTGTCGACACAGCGAGGAGGTGGCTAGCATTTCAGTGCGTCACAGTGCTCTTCCTGTTTGTGGGCATGATGGTCCCAGCCTGAGCCGCATGTTTCTGTTTGTCCAAAAGGCATTGCTTTTGAGGGCAACGAGCATTAGCTTAAGATTAGGAAGTAAACTTTTGATGCATACCTGGGCGGGAGCGGAATCTGCTTCACTGGACGTAGCCATCGCACTCCTGTTGAACTTCTACCTGAGCAGCAACTCCAGGCTGACGACTCAGGGCTTGGCCTCTTGTAGGCATCCAAGCATGAAACTACGCCTGCCTCTGCAAGTTCTCCTAATTGGCCTTCAGCATGCCCCCCCCGATGCTTTGTGCCTTCGTGCATTTGCGCCTTCGTGCCTTCGCTTGCTTCCCGCGCTTTGCCCATTCTTCGGGTACTTCGTGCCTGGGCGCTTCATGCGCCTTCTCACTTCGCGCCTTTGCGTGCTTCGCGTCTGCATGTCACCTCCTCCTGTTTGAGAGGGGATTCCCTGCGCCATCCTGACGTTCATCCCTTTCTTCGGTGAAGCGCTGCATGATCTCCATCAGGCACAAGAGCCATCTAAACCCCGAGCAAGGGTCTCAGCTGCAAAGCTTCACGGTTACACCCACATCCCATTTCATTGCAGACCAGGTTCGACCCCGTGTGAACAATGTTGCTGTTTCGATGCATGTCTGCTGTAAGCCTCCAAAGGAGAGCCGACACAACATACGGAGGTGCTGACGTTGTCAATCGCTGTCGAAGTGCCTTCGAATGGCGCACATGCGAGGGACGTTGAACCTCAAACTTGGACTACCAAGGCTGTGGTGTTGACTTCCTGGGATTCTTGTTACTTGCGTGGGGAGCTGATGCACCAGAGCTGGAACCGCGGCTACCTCGTTTACCCAGCGGACGCTCGGTCGACTCACAGCACTCTGCTGCTGGATAGCAACGCAGATTCCTTGACTGTGACTCTGGAGAGCGGTCCGCATACCCGCGACATGTTTGTGTCAGTGGAGCACCCCCTGCTCAACCAAAGTGAGCCTACGCTCGTGCCTTCGGCTACAGAGTATCAAGTCTCTCTTCCGCAGGGACCACTTTATGGCAAGATTAAAGTATGGACAGTGGGTGTTTATTTCAGCACACACTACACGGTGCACATCCTTCGGCTCGACGAGACCATGAATGTAACCCTCAGCAGCTGGAATAGGTTCCCTTCGGAGCAGCAGAAGAATGAACATGGTGACACATCGTTCGAAGAGGAGAGGCGTGTCCAGTATTTGCAGCAAAACTCCCTGTGGTACGTGCCAGACCTTGACATGGGACACAATGCCAGCCTTCAAGTGCGAATTCATCCTGTTATTTTTGCGCCGCTCTCCTTGCACAGGAACTTGCCGGAGGTGCCACAAGTGACAGACACTGCCTGCGAGTGCGGCGACATCAAGGATGGTTTTGGTGATGATTGTGCTTTGCAGAAACCTGTGGAGCAAGCCAGGTCAAGCTACTGCATTTACTTGTTAGCCACAAAGCCAGAGATTGAGCTACACAAGGGTAAGGCTAGCGTTGCAGGTGTTGGCTGTGACATTGTGTCGTGGCTTGTCAACACCACCGTGAGTGGCAAATTTGTGGGCCTTTCGTCGGCTGGATTACGGCATGCACGCATTGACGACGTGGGGCTGCTTCCTTTCGCTCATGTGACCCGGAGACATTTCAATATGTACGTGGTTGGCTCAAACACACACACACATATATATACATATATATATATATATCTATATATATATCTATATATATATATATATATATATATATATATATATATAAATATATATATATATATATATATATATATATATATACACATACACATACATACGTAATATATACATGTACAAACATACTAATACATTGATATTTACAGAGAGCACCATTCACTTCCTGTGAATCCAAGACCAGATGAGGTCAAGACCCAGCAAGTCCACGGTATCGACAGCCGGTTCTCTATCGATCTTCCACCCGAAAGCCTCATGCAGGAGGCCACTCAGCTTTTGATCAGCCCGACGCCCGATGCAACAGATGTGGAAGTACAGACAATTCCTCTCAGGGTGGTTTCTCATGCGCCCCCTATTTCATTGATATTCAATGCAACCCCGGCAGCATTCCTGCTGCCCGCCTTCGACAGCCAGGATCTACGTTCCGAGTATCGGCTCTGTGGTGGGGCAAATGCCGCCATAGACAGACTCTCAGCACTTGTTCTGGACTCTCGGTTCCGAGTGGTGAACTCGAGCATCTACAGCAGTGCAGACTGCAATGGAGGGCATACGAAGGAACAGCGTGTAGACTTTCGCGTCGTCCGGAGGGATGAAACCTGCTCAAGACTCTGCCCAAAGTATCGTCCACGAGGCCCGAAGTATGATCTGGCTGTGATCTACTCTCCTGCCGAATGTCTTCGCGAGGCAATGAACCTTCGAGACTTGACCTCCCTGGTGAGTGTCTTCCAGTACATGGTATCTTCATCAGGCACATCCTCGCGATAAGATACTGTCTTCGTGTTTCCTCTTCTCCATTGTACTCTCTTTGCAAGAGCCATGCATGCCATGTGTAGTAGACCCGGGCAAGGCACATGCGCAGACGAGAGCGGTGTATGGCATTTCATTGTGGGGATGAACAAGCCTGCTGCCGTTACCAAGCTCCTCGAAGCAAAAGCCAGTCCTGACAGCACCAGCCGTGGCGAAACGCCACTGCGAATTGCCGCGGCGGAGGGGCGTGAAGCGATCGTGCGGCTCCTCTTGGAGAAGCAGGCGAAGGCAGGAACAATCTGTGGTGTACGGTGTAATCTCTGCAATACTTGATAGCTTGGGGTGAGATACTGTAAGGCATGTCTGCTTCAAAATTTATCGTGACAGGTGAACTTGAACAACACGGACGGCGAAACGGCTCTGTCAAAAGCTGCTGACAACTGTCATCCGGAGGTTGTTGGAGCCTTGCTGGATAAGGGCGCCGATGTCAACGTGCAACGCAAACCCCGCGTTGGGTCCGACTCTTGCCTGTTGGAACATCCCTCCACCCGTATTGTTGGGCGGCACTTGGGGGCAGGCAGTTAGCTCACGTTAGCTCTGTGTGCTTGCATATTTGAGGAGCGCTCCGTGCCGTGTGATCCAACACCACTGGTCTCGGTGCTGACAGCCGCAGAATGCTACATGGATAGTCGCGGCATGCCAAAGATGCTGACTGTGACGAGTCTTCTCAGAGCTGCAAATGCAACATTAAGAGTTGGGAAGTGTGATTTCAGAGGCTGGGAAAGACAAACGAGCTTGGCAATTAAAGGGGTTACGTGCATTTATTGGCCACAGACACCCTGTCAGGTTACGTGCTGGAAATTGCCCTGCAGCAGGCTCGCCTGGACGTCGTGAAGACTGTCTTGGAAGAAGCAAGCCCTGCTTTGTTTGGCGATGAGGTCAAGGAAGCATTTGCCAATGCCATATTCGAAAGTCCAGTGTCTTTCATTGAGGAGGTCACCCCGCTGCTTGCCCACAAGGGCATGCCGATGGATTCCGTTGTGTACGATGAGCCAATGATCGCCGGGGCCGTCCAAAGATGCAGTGTGGAGTTAGTTGACTTCTTCTTAGCGATGAACGCCACGCTTTCCCGAGCGCTTCTGAAGAACACGGATGAGTGCAAGGACACAACGGTTCGAAGCAAGATCAACAGTTTGTTGCAGCCAAAGGCGCAGACGCAGCGGCTTTGATTTTGGCCGCTCGTGGACCGCAGACAGACCGAGGCTTGGACACACAACGCTAGTGTGACTTGCATTGAGCTTGGTGAATCAGTACGAAGCAATAGCTGCACAGAATGTGGAGACAAAGGCTGACGGTCATGTGAGGGAGTTCCAAAGGGCAGAGCATTGTGAGCTGCAAGTACATATCTTGCCGTAGTTGAGCCCACGTGATCGTATTCATGATGCAGCTGGTGCCTCCTTCATGAAAGTCTTCTGAGCTGTTCCCTGAGCTGCGCCGCTTGAACTCTGAATGCTGACATATGTTTTTTGTCACTCGCTCGCTCCCTCACTCTCTCTCCCTCAGTGCTTCGCAGTATGGTTTTGGTCAAATATTGGTTTCAGGAAATGGGCTGACCACCCCGATCTGGTTCCTATGACATTTTTTCATTTTTTGCCGGTGAACAGTCTTCTTGTGGGCTCCAAGACTTCTCTAAGGCCCCAGACCGCACACCCTCACCCTGAACCCTGAACCCTGTTCCCCGTAGATCCTCAAGCCCGTCACCGAAGTACATGGCTGACAGTTCTGGCTGACGGTCATGAAGAAGTTTCAACAGCCAGAGTGTTGAAAGCTGAACGGTTGAGGCAGCAGCATGTCCTGGTGTACAGGTGCCCCTGTCAGACAGCTAGGCACGTGAACTTGCCTCTTTGCCATCTCTGCGGCTCGAGCTGCGGCTTACTGCCAAATTCAGCCAGTTGTTTTCGAAATGAGTTTGTGCAATGTGAAAGTTTTGCTGCCCGGCCAGTTTCAGTAACAGTGCCAATGCCTTCTGCCAGCTAATTTTGTATTGTGGCGGTTGGGCGGAGGCACAATGCCCAACTTCTTTCATTTGTTCTCGCCAGATTCGTTTGTCTGGTCTTGGGGACTCTGGGGTCACGGCCTGAATGCCCAATATAAAGCTTATAGGGAGAATTGAGTGCTTCTGGAGCTGACTGGGATGTTGCCCCCTGTCGAGCTTACATTGCATTTACATGTGAGCCGCATGAGTTATGCTCAGTTTTAGTTTGGCGACCTGATGCTGAGGTTGCTGTTCTTTCTTTGGGTTGTCGTCGAGAGCATCCGCGATGAATCAAGAAGCTTTGCTATGGAAGACGGCGACTGGTTTTGGGACAAGTCGACGACCACCACGACAATTGAGCCCGCTACAACGACAATGGAGCCCGCTCCCAAGGAAGAAAGGCTGGCTGCCTGGCTGGTAGGACGCGATGTTTGCTCTCACTGGGGTGCCAAGAACGCTACAAGCCTACAGGACGGCAGCACGGCCGTATGCCAGTGCCCTTCCAGCATCTCAATCAAGTGTGGTGACAAGCGTGTACACTGCTGGTCACAAGGAGAAGGTCAACAATTTCACCCTGTTGACACTTGCAAAGAAGAGCGTGGCACCTGTAATTTTTGGGCCCCAGGCTGCAGATGTCTGTCTCATGAAGCTTGCAAAGAAGAGATGGATTACGGACCGGCCCTCAGGAACGTTGGTGTTGCGGCTGTTGACTTTTGCTCCCAGCTGCTACACATTGTCATGGTGAGGGGACAATTCCTCAGACGGACAATGTTTACGTTCAGGAGGTGGGGCGCATATGCTGCGTCTTTTGTGAGGAACCAGTCGGGTTATAATCCACATCATGCTGACGGCGAAGTTGCCAAGAAATTGGCGGATGAGACCAAGGACCTGCTAGCTAATCATGATGCAGCCAAGTATTGCCAAGCAGCTGTAGCCGGAATTGAGAATGCCAGTCGTGCAGCTTCGGAGCTTGCAAGCAATGAGCCTTTCAGTGCCGATGATACGCAGGGACCGGATCGCTTGAATTTGATGAATGCTTTGCAGGGACAACGAAACACCACCTGGCTACACTCCTTGAGACATGTTTGCAAAGAGGAGTGCAGCGACATTGTGGGGGAAGTGAAGAAAGAGGCGGAACGCATCTTTGTTGAACGGCTGGGACACACGCATCCACTACATGAGTTGTGTGCGCACTTTGTGGTGCGGAAAGTCGAGAGCAAAGTGTTGGGGTGTTGTGCGTATCAGTGCGGCTGGAACAACAAGACATGCACTCTTTGGCCATTCATGGCTGAGGCAGAGAGAGATAGTTGGAAAAGCGAGTGTTGCTCGGAGTACAACACGGTGAGATTTTCTGAGCGGGAGAAGATGTGTAACAGTGTCCTCCATACAGACGATGATCGAAAGCTCCTCCAAGAACATGACAAAGAGCCAGCGGATCCAGGAGAGTCGTCTGAGGTTGGCCAGGAACAGACTTTGACTTGGACTGCGAAGAGTGTTGGCGAGCGCTTCGGCGCGATCGCTTGGGCACAGGAAGGTGCAGAGGTTGATCCAGATTTTCTCAAGTTGCAGCCGCTGTCGGTTGAAGAAGGCGAGAGCATGGGTTTCTGGCGCCTCACAGCAAAGCCGACATCGACTTCAGTGCTGCAAACCGGGACTGAGTGTGATGATCCTCCTCCCCCTGGATGCGTTATCGATAAACAGCAAGAGCACACGAAGTGCTTGGAGAGCCAGAACTGGAAGTGGCTACCGCCAAAGGTGGCTGCGAAGGTGATGGCGGAGACGCACATTGGCGAGCCCCTTCAAACAACCTCCGCCTTGGAGTGTCAGAGTCGTGCAACAGCCAGTCAGTCCCAATATGCTTTTCTGAACATGAAAGCGGGCGAGTGTCGCATTCTGAACCAGTGCAAGTCTTGTATTCATGGAAAGGACATTGCAAAAAGTAGTTACGAAGATGTGATGGAGGCGGCCTTTGTGCGTCTGTTTGACAGATGAAGGCTGCGACTTGCGAGCATAAGCTGCTACACATGTCCGAAGCCAAGCCATGAACGCTGCGTTGGAAAAGTTTGCATCTTGCGAGGCTTTAGACATCTGCAAACTAGGCATTTGCCGCAATGAATGACAAGTTGTGGCCAGCAAGATGCGTGTGAGAAAGTTGGTGGATGCCCAGCCGATCACCCTGCCTTCCCGCTCGAGTCCTGACGTCCCCAAGGCATGTTGGGCAAATCGGCGGGAGGCTGAAGGCTGAGGAAGAAGACGTGCATGAGCATGAGAAGGCATAGCAGTCGACCCGCGATCCACCTTCAAAACGCGACAGTGTCAACGAAGCTTTAGCCATGAATCCGAATTCCCCCATCCGGGGACCATGGAGATTCCCCCGCGTGTGCATCGGGCACACACCACCACGGAGCAAGTACGAAGAGGCGCATAGTCCAGATATCCAGGCTTACGGTGAAGGGTTTAGTGTCTGTAGCTTCGTGTTTCGAGGCTTTTGACCCCAAGTGTTAGGTCAGGGCTAGGGTGGTTGAAGTTGACGACTTCTTATCAGGATTTAGAATCAGTTAAGGTTTTTGGATTTCAGAGATTCCAGGATTTGTGGTTTAAGGTTTTCAGATCTGGTGGAGCAGTGCAAACTGAATCTGCTGCGGCTTTGGATTGGGGTGTCTTGAAATCAGGTTAGGTTACCGAGCTTCGTTGGTGGCGGAGACATCGCACGTGCCTATCCATTTGCAAGGCATGTCCCCTCTGCTAGAAACATGCACGACACCCGCCCCCCCCCCCCCCCCCCCCCCCACAAGTCCTCAAGACCAAGTCCTCAAGACCCTAGAAGTGTTCAAGCCGCCCTAAATCGGCGGCGCGACCGCTATTTTCAACCGTGTACCCCAAACCCTAAATCCCAAAGCCCCAAACCCGATCTACCGACCTCCAAGCCAGCCCGAGATTTAAAGGTTCCAAGAGCTCTTCCTTGGCTCCGCTGCCGGCACCTCGCTCCACGACGCAAGCCGAGGCCGCTGTTTTTAAAAGTGAGTTTTTTTGCAAGACTTGACTTTGGACTGAACGTGCCTTCTATCTTGTGGTGTTTCGGGTTTTGCAACTACTCTCCTCATGCCATGCTGCGACGGCAAGCTCCGGCTCCTTGTGTGTGCGTGGTTTAAAGTTTACGTGCAAAGTCTGTGTGTAAATATCTACACAAAGGCCAACACGTAGTCTAGTTCTGTACACTATCTTCGCCAACTGGAACAAGGGTTCGGATAGTTTTGCAAGCTATTTGTCGAGGTTGAGTGGTCACATGCCTTTTGGATCAGTGCTTTGCAGTGTGTCCGGGTCGAATACGGGATTTCAAGAAGTATGCTGACGACCCGACTTGGTTCCTTCGGGATGCCAGGTGCGCGTACAGCGTTCCAAATTATGAACCTTCTTGCCTTCGAACAGTCTTGTTGTGCCACCCTAGAACTTTAAACACTATTATAGACCCCTAGATCCTCAAAGCGCTTACCGAGGTAGATGGCCTTTGCTTGCCAAGCATCATCGTCGCGGTGGAGGAGGAAGCAAGTCGGATGGCTTCTTGATTGCCGGTCCTGAGGTTCCTAGCTACCCGTTTAGGGTTTAGGGTTATGTTCCCTAGTTTATTGCTTGTCGCTGTTTTTCCTTCGAACTTCCCGCAGGGTGTCACACAGCTTTGCATACAGGGTGCGGTGCATTCCAGCCGCAGCAGCAGCAGCAAGACCTTCAACACAACATGTCAGCATCAGACCCGTGATTAGTGCCTTCCACTTCCCCTCTTCCTTCTCGCATACGGCTTTTCGGGTTCTTTGATGCTGCTGTTGTATCAAGTTGTACGAAAATTTCGTCTCGGAGAAACGAGGGTCCCATGTTTAGGATGTAGGTGTAGAGGTTTAGAATGTATTCAAGAGTGCATTGAGACTCGTTTGGTTTGGCGGGCTCACTGGAGCCTTTGTTCCTTGTTTGCATTCAGTTAAAACCATTTATTTCTTTCCAGTTAGCATCATTGTCGGTTTTGATCCCCAGATGTACGCATCAGCCTGCGAAGCCACGCCTGAAGGCTCAACCCTTGCCCTTACTTATGGCCCCTGTCTCGGATGCTTTCAACGGCGCAGGGCTGCGTGCAGTGGGCCAAAAACCGGAAGCCGAACCCGAGACCAGGAACGGGAAACTCTGTCATCATGTTGTGTGCTACCATCACGTGTCTTCAGGGTGTCTGAGTAAAAAGGCAGTTGAATGCCTTGCTGATGGTTCAGCGATGTCTGTCGGTTATCAGCTGTAGGTACTCCTCGCCTCTTCTATTGCTGCAATGCGCGCGCATGAGCCGTCTTTGGAACCTTCGAACATCAACTTGTTGGCTCATTAGGATAATAGGCAAGCTGATCGAACTACTGCGGGACCGTTCCCATACCGTGTGGTGCTAAGCAAGGTGATGTTCTGAGACTTCCCTTTTCAGTGCAGGTTTTAAGGAAGCAGTGCGTTAAGTACGTTGGGATACTTCTGCGTTACATGATGTCACGTGGGTACTGCGGAACGTTTGACCAACAGCAGTTGAATGCCAAGAACTGATCGGTTGTTGCGTTCATGTTGGACGCACTTCTCGACGAGTTGAAGTTGGAAGGAATAATTTGCATTTTGGTGCGGGCGATAAGACAAGATTTTGCTAAAGTTGATCTTGCGCCACCCCTTCACACTGGTGCACAAATACTTGGAGCGAGAGATCAGAGGCAATGTCCGATAACGATATGGAACTGCATCATCGTCGTTGCGTGCAAGTTGAGAAGTGGAGATTTGCAAAAACAGTTTCCTGTCAAAATGGGGCTGGCATTGTTCCATGTTGTGGTGTCGAGTTACTATAACTACCCAATTTCACCTGTAGGTGCTCGATGCAGTTCAGCCGCGGATGCTGCGTTCAACTGTCCGCTGAAAGCATTAATGCTGAGGAAGAATGGCGGACGGCAGTGAGCGCATGAAGCGGCGCTTGCTAGCAAAGACCCCGAAACTTCCAGCCCGAAGCTCCGTACGGAACAGAGTTGAAGAATTACGGGGCTTGAGATACGGGCCCAGAACCCCACCACGGCGGTGCAAGGTTCGTGACAACGTTCCTGGCATTGCATTCTTGGGTTTAGGGTTTAGAGTTTAGGGCCATGCATGCGCCCAGGTCTTCATTAGCCATGCCAAGCGCCTTGGTATGGACGACTGTCGAGAAGCGTTTTACCTGGATGACCTGTTATCTGCACCTGGGCTGCGACAGTTCTCCTGGCTGTCAGGGCTTTCGGGGCATGCACTGAGCGAAGAGCCCACAAACAAACCAACACATCCACTTGCAACTGGAAGTAGCAGCACTGTTCATGCCAGATCAGGGTGCCAGAACGGTCTTGCTCAAACTCATGCAAACAATGTAGTATCACAATGGACAAGCGAAAGTATCCACTGCACAAATAGCCATTCACGAACGTAAGATGGACTCATTTAATCTCATTTATATACTAATGTACCCATAGCGCAGATGGAAATAACAATGCATTGATATGATGTACCGGCACGAACCGAAATCATCGAAGAACGACACAAGGAGAACATACCCTGGAAACCATGAACAAGTACGGTGGTAGCTTTGTCTTTCTGTGTAGTGATAGCCTGGCGTGTTACACTGTCGAGCACATCAGACAAGCCATGCTGCAACATCACGGTGTCTTCGTTTCTTAATGTGCAAGAACGAACAGCAGAAAATTGGCATTCATCTAGCAGCAGTATACCAAACTACACGATGCTATCCACGCAGCTCGGCAGCATAGTCACAAGCAGTCAGATTGGTGCAAGATTGTGCTGGCATGGCAGCATGGCAAGCTGAAGATGCAGCAGCACTGGCACAGCAACCTAATTCTTTTTGTATCATATGAAAGGTATGGGTAAGCATACATAATATGTGTCATGTGTGTGTATATACATATATATATATATATAACTCTCTCTCTCTCTCTGTATACATATATACATATATATACATATATATATATATATATATAAAGCATGTCTTGGGGTAACCTTGCTGAGTGACTGGAACTGAGACCTCAAGCAAGTGCTCAAGTTTTATTTCAGAACACACAAGGGCGGAAAACAACTACTTGGAGGTTCATTGGTACTTATAAGTAGGGTCATAAATAGGGTAACTATACTTATAACCCATATTAGCGGACATAACCCTAGTTATAACTACCCATGAACCTCCAAGTAGGTACCAGACAAGGCAACCATCCGGCCAGGGCCCCCTGACCTGCTACCGTTCAGACCCTTCAATGTGGGAGTTTCCGAAAATAGAGGTCCCTTATTTTGGGGTCCTTATCATAAGATCCTACTATTTCGGGTACTTTTTAAGGGTCCCCTGCTCTCGGAAACCCCCATGTATCGAGCATTTCACGCAACTGCATCCGTGCTTTCAGCACGGCTCGAGGCACTCCGCGATGCCCAGGCGGCTTGCAGCCACAAGTGCCTCGCCGAGGAAAGCTGCAAGTTGCAAGCCGAAGCTTGTGTTGCGGCCATTGCGGCTTCAACTGCCTAAGCATTCCTGCGCCGAATACTTACGGCAAGGGATTCTCAAAGTCGGCTTTCTGGCTGTTTCTGCTCCGTGGCCTGGATTGTGCAGCGTGGCGTAGGATCGCATTTCATGTGTAAAGGACAAAAGACCTCCCTCTTCAGCCTGTTCGAGTCATGTAGACTTCGATATGAGGATCGCGAAAACTTGTCTGAGGTCTCATCAGGCCGTATGAAGTTCTCTACGATCTGACAGTTTTTTGAAGTCCTACACTAAGTTAGTCACTAAGTCTTGCTTCAGGACGAACAACAAAGGGTTAATCATGGCTTTTGGTGGTTCTGGCGTCGTCCTTTGACCTTAGTCTTCGAGCTCGAGACACAAGCCCAAACATGTAGCCCTGAATCCTAAACCTCAAATCCCGAGCCCAAAACCTTCAGCCTGCACCCGGAGCCGTAATGCCTGAAAGCCTGAACCATAAATTCTTTCTCCCCTAGGCCCTCAACGCGAAGCCCAGGACCCTAAAAGAAAAGAAAGGCCGCGAGCACCTAAAACTCCTAAAGCCTTCGAGACTACTCCGAGGCCTCTGCTGCTGCTGCTGGGGGAGGATTCCTGGCAAAAGCCGGCCCAGGTAGGTGGATCTGGAGTTCGAGTAGGGCCTTTAATTACTGGGGCATTGCCGGACCTTATGGCTTTCTATAGCTTCGACAGGGTCTCCACTGTAGTGGGGTACATGGCCCTTATGTTGTGGAGGAGTCTAGTGCCCCGAGCCCCCTGAAAAACCGTAGTCTAACTCTTCCTTCCTCTGCTGGACCTTTTCGGTTTAGCGGAATTGGGGGTTTACAGAGGGTTAGGCTTAGAATGGGAGTTTGGGATCCGGAGGCATAGGGTTTGGGGGCACGGTGCCATGTTTTTTTTAGGTTTTGTCGGATCTTTCGGGCTACTGAAACTGAAAGCCAAGTCCGAGGGTTGACGGTTTAGGGCATGCAAGGCTTGGGGTGTGGAAGACCAGTGTAGAACAAAGTGGGAGGGATTGAGAAGTGCGCGTCATCAACGGAAAAGTAGATTTCGTCTCAGCAGTCAGGCCTCTTGGGATAGCTAAATATTCAGCCAACGTCCTGCATGCACGGCACAGGTCACACCGGTACGTAGCAAATGAATGGTATGACTATGTATGACAGGATCTGATGTTGGGGCTCCAAACCGTATGCTGCAAGTAGCCAGGTAAACAGCCCTGAAACTTTGGCGCTCAGCCTATATTCCCGAAGCCCAAATGCTCCTGCACAAAGCCTTTACGGACTCACGCAGTGGCCCTTCAAGCGCATCTTCCCGGCGGCGAACCCGAAACCCTAAAACCCTGGAGCTTCAACGAAGTTTAAACCCAAAGCTGGCCTTAAACTGAGTTCTTGTTAAGGGTTTTAATTTAAGTTACCATAACCGAGATCTAGAGTAAATGATAGGGTTCCCAAAGCCTTCTCCGAAGTCCTTCTGCAGGCCGTGAGAGGCCCGCGGAGGCCCTATCTGGTAAAGACGTCGTGCACACCTGAGCCACTCTGCAAAAAGGGGGGGGGTCTAACACTTTAGGGGCCTTGAAAGGGATCTATAGGGGTTCTAAAAGTGTTCCTTTAAAGGTGTCTATAAGGCCTACTATACTCCTATATTAGGGTCTAGGGTGTAGGGTTCCAGACCCACAAGCTTGAGGTGTGAGGGGTCAGCCTCGAGCTCTTAACTCCAGACACAGCCAGAGACAGTGCTATGAGGTTTCCGTGGTGAGGCTTTCAGTAGGCGGGGCTTTGTGGGGCTATTTGGGCTCTAAATCACCGAAACGCTCCACCCTACGCGCCGTAAGCCCCCAAACCCCGAACCCTTGAGGCCCACAAGCGTTTTGAACACATTCCTTTTTTTCGAGCTTTTAGGGTTGAGGGTTCCGAGATTGGGGGTTTGTGGTATACAATTAACTGCGTAACCGTTTTCTTGATGTGGCAAGTCGGCATGAGCCACCAACCCCTAAAGCTCACCTACGCGCCTGAATAACTATTGCTAGTCTACCCTCATAGCCCTTGTACAATTCCATTATACAATGCACCAGACATGCAATGCTCGGTTGTTGAGGCGCTTGTATGTTCCCCGCGGTCCCACATACAAGAGTCAGGGTTCGGGCCTTACTGTATCATACTGTGTGAGGTCGAAACTCGACAAAACCTTAGCAGTGTTTAATCGGTTAGAGGCTTCGGGTTAAGGGTTTAGGGAGTACAGACCCGAAGCCCCCTACAGCCCTGAGCCCTCAACCCTGAACCTTTGGTGGGGGCCTGTGGGGCTCGTCTTTGCAGGCCCCAGGATTGTAGGCCGCAAGCACCGTGTTCCTTGGCCGTGGTGGCACATCTCGCGCTGTTGAATGAATGAGCTTAGGACAACTACACCCTGAAAGAAAAAGCTTTGAAAGAGGGACTGCTAGAGTGCCATGCTCTCTCCCGCATGGCATTCCACGACACCCAGCCTCATTCTTCAACCCTCAATACTTGACGCTGAGCCCCCCTAAACCCTAAACCCTAAACCCAAAATAGGCCCTTTAAAAAAACAAAAAACCCTAAACCCTAAACCTTAAACCCTAAACCCTAAACCCCCCCACACCTTGAAGGCCAAAACCGGGATCTTGATAGACGGCAGCCTGGCCAAAGAACCCCAGGCCCCAACCCTGAAACTTCATCCCTAAACCCTCAACCCTAAGTCCCGAACCGATCCCTGAACCCTAAACCCTAAACCCTAAACCCTTAAACCCCTAAACCCTAAACCCCTAAACCCTAAACCCTTAACCCTAAACCTAAGCCCAAAACCCCGAAGCCCAAACCCTGTGAGGCTTGGCCTCTGCTGTCGCAGACTGCTGCCGTCAGCGGACTTCGGAGACTTTGAGGCCCTCTACAAACTGGAGGGTGCTCCCAGTTCGGGATCTTAAGCTGCCGTAGGTTCTGGTTTTGGGGGGATCTTGGGTTGTATTGTGGTGGGTTCGGTCTCAGAGTGCGTTAGGGTTTTGGGGTTGGGGGTTTGTATCGTTTTAGTTTCAACTTCAGTTTCGAAATTTGGGGCTTCGGGTATGTGTTGATAAGTTTGTACGACACAACAGAAAAATACACCCGCCCAAAGAATCCCACATCGTGACAGGTGTTTACAGTTTGTATTCGTTTTGGGTTTCGTCAGGTAGAATCTGAAATATGTACGCTATCGGAACATGCCGTACACATAGAATCGCTAGCGTACTCCCGGAAGACAAGGACCCACTAAGCCCCAGCACGTCCGAAAAACTCAAAGACAAAGCCCCAGCAAGCCCTGGACCCTGGACCCCAAAGGCAGTGCTGAACCATTTACGCCACCAGTAAGTGATTTAGGATAGGTCGGTGCTGAAGGGCTCGTTTTGGAGCGCCTCACGCGTTCAAAAACAGAAAAGCGTAAACCCTAAGACCCTGAGCCCCAAGCACGTACTGTGCTTTCCGAGGCTGTGGTGGCGGAGTGTGTGGTAGACTTCGAAGTGACCCGTCCGATCTTGGTGCTGCCGAAAAATTCAGGGTTTAGGGTTTAGGGTTTAGGGGTTTTTGTGATTTGTTTGTTTTGCTATCCGTGCGATTTGTATTCAGGTGGCAACTGCAACTAAGCCTTTCCTGGCTGCTTATATACTCCCCCCTCTGCTGCCGCTACTTTTGCTGGACCGCTGCTTTTGCTTATCGAATACATTTCTCTTCGTCGTTGCCTCCACACGGTGTCCCATGAGTTAGTTTGTACAAGACTTCTTGAGGCGAAACCTGCACGTTCTTCTTCCTGATGTGGGGTTGCGGAAGCAGGGTATGCAACTTCAGTCCGAGACCTGCAAATACCGAAAGCCCTGAACCCCGGACGAAAAACCTTGGGCCCCCGACCCTAGCCACCTGAAGCGTTGTTTTCCTTTTGGAGCCCGAAGCGTTGATTCGATCGTGATGCCTGATGCGCCACGTGTCTTGCAGCAGCTGTTCCGCTTCTTCTTGCCATACTCCTTGCCAGTGCTACGACTTAGCATTGAGCCAAAGCTCCCTGTACGCGCTTAGGAGGCATGTGCCAGCGGCGCGTGGCTGCAGCAAGCAGAAGCACAGCTCTGAAAGACAAGAGGACCTCTACTTGGAGGTTCATGGGTAGTTAGAGTAGGGTAACTATACTTATAACCCCCACTTATAACGACCCCTGAACCTCCAACTAGGGCTTCAAGGCTCTCTCTGTGAGGCTTTTTGCCTAAGGCCGGTTCAATGAAGCCGGCCTGAGTTGAGATGTCATGACGTTCACGAGCTGCGAGACTGCTGGCATCAAAGGGGCACCCTGCTCTGCAATCTCCTTTACGATAGCTGCAGCAGTAGTTAGGATGTGTGACTCCTCCTGTCCTTACCCGCGCATGTCGTGCATCTGGAGCGACCCTAAACCCTAAACCCCTAAACTCCTGAACCCTAAACCCCTAAACCCCTAAACCCCTAAACCCCTAAACCCCTAAACCCCAAAACCCCTAAACCCCTAAACCCCTAAACCCCTAAACCCTAAACCCTAAAAGCCCCAAACCCTAAACCATAGTTAGACTAGGGTCTTCGGTAAAGCGCGCACGATAGAGCAGGTCGTCTCAATGAAGCGTTTGTCCTCACTTGAGTTAGGGTTTCCCATTTGGGAATGGTGAGGCTCCTTTCGAAACATATAGGGGTAAAGGCATGTTAAGGTTGTCCCTTCGGGATCATCGCGGTAAAGCCACACTTCATGTATTCATGCCGGGATTCTGGATTTTGCCCTAAACCCTAAACCCTAGGCCCTGAACCCTTCAGGGCTTCAGGACTTTGGGTATCAACCTCACGGCATCGGGTTCAGACTTCAGGCTTCAAGCTTCGTAACTCAGCACGTGACTCAGCATGCATAGTATGGGCTCTCCTGTTCTGGGATTCTGCACTCTAAGATTCCAGGATTCCGACGTCCAGCTACTGTACCCAAACGGCCCTAAACCCTAAACCTCCAAATCCCAGACCCTTGCAACCGCCCGTTTTTTCTGCGGCTCAAACTAGCAAGTGCCAAGGATCAGCAGCCGACCCCTTGCCCAACCGCGCGAAAGCCCACATGGTTCTTGCACCCTGTAGCACCTAAGCCCCTACAAATTCAAGCCCCTGAATCCAGAAGTCATGAGACCCTCAGCCAGAAGCCCGCCAGCCAAACTCGCAAGCCCCGAAACCCATAGCCCAACACTCCACGCACCCCAAACCCCCTACACCTCGAAGCCCTAAACCCTGAACCCTTAACCCGAAGCCCTGAACCCGAAACCCTAAACCCTGAACACCCCTAGAAGCCGTTGAAGCCAACCACTGTGGCAGCCCAAAGGGGCCGGCGAAATGGGGGCCGACTTGCATCCTAGCGAAGAGTTCAGGTATTGGGTTTAGGGTTTAGGGTTTAGGGTCTGGGTTAAGGGCTCAGCGTGTTGAGTCGTCAGTTTGGGTTTAGGATCTAGCGCACTAGGGGATGGGACTAAATTCATACATGCCGTTACCGTGTTAAGGGAGCTGTTGAGACTATTATGTAATATGGCCCACGCAATTGCCAATACTGTTTTAGGGGTTCCTTATTATTAGTATAGTTTAATGGCCCCAAAATACGAAGGCCCCTTTAGCACACGCGTCTGTTGGAGATGCTGTTGATGACATAAAGCTTGCATGACCTTAAGAAATCGACACTATGAGAATTATGGTATATTCCTCATGATGTGTAAGGCAGGATTTATATCATCAACCCTATAGATCCCTTAATGGAACCCCCTGTAGGTACCCTTATAGATCCTTTGAAAGGAACCTTAGGATTTATGTCATCAGCCGTAGTTCTTAGGAGTTCACTCGCTTGGTTCGAGGCACGGGGAGTTGAGGCTTTTCAGTTTTCAGGTCTTTGTACAGGCCACAGAGACTCGGAGGCCCAAAAGCCCTGAACCCGAGACCTACCACAGGGGCCTTAGTAATCACCTATGCTATTTTGGGGGGCTTCCTTGTTCTACTTACAGTAAGCCCCATAAAGTTGGAAACCGGATTAAGGCCAAATAGTGCTGGGATTCCCTATACATTACTGTTAGGGATCGAGGCTATTGGGTTTCCACTTTTGGGCTTCTATCGTATCTGGAGTGGTCATCTACATGTAACGGATAAAGATGTTAAGCAAATAGTATCTGGTAGGTAAGACGTAGATGATGTGGTATATTTGATGAACTCGACGTTCCAAATCCCGAGCCCCCATACTATGCCCCGGGGATCTCACTCCCCCAAACTTCTAAAACTCCAAGCTCATTTCCTCCGACTCCCCTAAACCCTAAACCCCACAACCCCACAACCTCAAACCGTAAACCCTAATCCACTTGCAGTTGAAAAAGGGCTCATATAAAAGCAAAACCAAAAAGGAAACACACAACTAATCCCCAAATTAATCCCGAAACCCTAGACCCTGAAATTTCCGAACCTCCGAGGATCCGGGCCTTCGTCTCTTCGTCTGAAAAAATTTCAGCCAGGAACATCCAAGCCCTAAGCGCACTGCGGGAAGATTTTTTGAAGAATGAAGGAGCTGAGTATCGAGCCGTAAGTAGTAGGAGCCTTTCTTATCCACGGCCCAACAATGGGAGCTCTAAAATCTAAGACAGGTTCTAAAGCCCCGCAGGCAGCCTTCCTGTTTGCCGAGAGCCGAGGTATGATTCAGAGTCGGAGGAGACGGATGTCGGGGAGCTGGAAGAGACACCAGGCACCACCATGAGCATCATGCTACGGTTTAGGGTTTAGGGTTTAGGCTTTAGCTATGCAGCTACAGCTGCGGCTCTGCCATTTGCTACTCGCATGAGGGTTCCATGAGGCTTCAGCATAGGTTCAATCACGGTTCTATGAAGCTCCCAAGAGGACTTTACAAGGTGATGAGGTCTAGGCTGGCGACTGAAATCGTAGCCTTTCTCTCTCATACTCTACTTACGAAGCATCCAAATCCCCTAAACCCTCAACCCTCGACCAACCCTAAACCCCAAACCTCCCCCGGACCGTGACCTGCAAGCCGATTTGAGCAAGTGGTTTTTTAAAGAAGAAGCTTCCATGAATAGTCAGCAAGAGCTTCGTTTGGCCTCTAAACCCTAACCCCTAAACCCTAAAGCCGCAAAGACCTGTAAGCCTCATTGGCCTGGAAACCCGAGGCCCGAGTTCGGGCTTTCGAGGTGTTTCTAGTCGGATTTTGCAGGTTGTGGGTTTAGGGCGCCAGACACCTACCCTTTAAGCCTCTCGGCGCCAGGACGTTAAAAAGCCCAAACCTTGATTGAACCTTCAAGCTATACCGAGGGCGGTGTTCAGAGTTTTGGGCTCAGGGATGTACCCTGAATCCTATACCTTCCAATGCAGGTGAGGAGCTATTTGCAACTTCCACGCATGCATCGCAGGCATCTTGCAATGCAAGTCGGAGTACCCTTCTTCGGTTACGGGTGTAGGGTTTAGTGTTTGGGAGTCGTGGGTTTAGGGTTGGGCATAGGGCTACGGTCTGAGGTTTCACATATTGCTTGTGCGGGTTTGCTTTTTGAATGGTGTGATCCGGGCTTGAAGTTTTGCATCGCACGTTGCGTAGGAGTTGGTATGTGACCATGTGCAGGTATCATGCTGTTTACTGTTGCAACGAAGCCCTCTGAGTGAAAGGGCAGCGTTTTTGCGTAGCACGTGCCTCCATTGGGTAATCAGCTGCGTTGCTCGGTAAGCTCCAATGGAGACCAAAAAAGTGGACGCTCAAGTCACGGAGAACATGATGTTCGGTCCGGGGGAGGGCCAAAATGCAAGCCCATGCTCCTAAGTGGCGTTTCCCATGAGTGTGAGGGTGCACACCCTTGGGCCATGGGATGGTGTTGCAATGACATTCCCAGCCACTGTTGCTGCCAAAGTGTTTTGTCCTTCTCCCGAGTTGCAGATCCGGCGTGTCCCAACTCAGCCTCAAGACTCAGCCTTCAAGAACGACCGTGCTGAGGGTGACTCCACACATCTTGCTGGAGCTGCCAACCATTTTGATCAAGAAAAGCCAGAGCTCACGAGGCTTACTGTGCCGGTAACAAGCAAGGCTCCAAGATGCTTCCTGAGCTCGACTCTCCGCACCGCAAGACTCGTCGCACGCCCGCAGCCGGGCTAAGGCAGAGAAACGGCTTCACTCGCGATCTACCAGCATGACTGCCCCCACAGTCACCGTTACGAGCAGTCCTCGTCCTCGTCCTCGTCCTCGTCCTCGTCCTCGTCCTCGTCCTCGTCCTCGTCCTCCTCCTCCTCCTCCTCCTCCTCCTCATCCTCATCCTCATCCTCATCCTCATCCTCATCCTCATCCTCATCCTCATCCTCCTCCTCATCATCTTCCTCTTCTCTCGTCGTTGTTGTTTTCGTCATGAGCTTTGACCGCGGCTCGGAGTCAATAGCGTGCCCTGAACCGACCGAAACCAACTCTTGTGCATGTGGCTTTGATTCTCTATGCAGTGACTGAAATCACGCTGTCACTACCTCGAACCTCAAACTACCTCACTGACGATGCTGTACCGTGTGAGTCCGAGACGTGTTCGTATGTCGAGGAGTCGCCTTCCAGCAGTGAGGAGGCACCTTTTCAGGAGTTTGTCAGGTTTAGGGGCTTAGGTGACCTTCGTTTTGTTTTTGGAGGGTGTTCTGCAGTGCTTCTTCGTGGCCCTGCAGCGATTGAATGCATGCAGATCGCACGACCATTTCACGGACTGCGCTTTAGAATCGCAGCCTTGGGGTGTTTTCTGAGTCTGCATGGATTGCACACGGTGTTGTTATGTGCCTATGCATGGATCTCCAGACGTGGCCCGAAGCGAAGCAGTACAGGAAACATCAACAGTCTAGGCGTTGCACTTCTAGACTTGAGTCATGCTTGTTGTGCCAAATCTGAGGGTCACGGGAAACTCCGAAATTCCGGGATCCACGATCTCTTACACGTATGGTTCAGGAACTACGGTCTGCGAGGGGAAAAGGGGCTCATCTAGTTAGTCTAGATGTACGTTGGACCCAAGGGGCGAACGGCAGGATATTTAGGGTCTCGTGATAGTTAGTGTTTGTATGCGCCCTTCCCGCATCCCAAGCTCGAGACCCCCATCTACCAAGCCTGCGATATCAGGCCCCTGTGCGAGCAGCCGGTTCTGCACTTGCAGCCATCAACGTGCTCAGTGGGGCGCCCGAGTAGTATTGGGGCCTTAAAAGTTAGAATAGGGTTTTGGGGCCCATTAAATTTTGATTATAATGAGGAACCACCAAAAAAAGAGTTCTGGTGATTATTAGGGCCCCTACAGTAGGTTTTCGGTTTCACTATCCGGAAAAGTCCTGGATTGGAATCCTGAACTTCGAGCCCTGTCCACTAGATCATAAATCATAAATGCTAAACTCTGAACTCTAAACCCGTGGCTCTGAACCGAAGTCCCGAAGTCAAAACCCTGAGCTCTTAAGGATTGAAACTATGGAAAGATTGGAAACTTTGAAGCCCTAAACCATGAACCCTAAGCCCTCACACCCAAAGCTACATCCTTTAGAAGGGGCCCCCACCCTGTAATAGTGACGATAAGGATTATATAGGGTTATATTAGGGCCCTATTATATTCCTACTATGCCACTATTACAGAGCCATACCCGCAGTTTCCGCTGTAGCTATCGTAGTTCCTGGTTTGGTCAGCCGATCTTTATGGCGAAAGCAGGGTGCCTAAAGAAGGGGACTACCCTGGAGATTGGAGGGAGACCCCAAACTTATATTGGTTTAATAAGGTCAACCAAGGCTTCTTCGTGGGGCTGGGGCTGCGGAGAGTTGGTGTTGAGAGTTTCGGGGTTCGTCTTAGAAATATGGGAGCGCCGGTATGGTGTGGTGGGGGAGCATGTACTATGCATGCGTTGTCCCCGGGCTCGAACCCACCCACGGACAGGGTAAGACTCTCAGCTGGCTGCGCGGCGGTTCGAATGTCCCCAGGGAGGCAGAGGCTAACCCCATGTCGATCCGGGTGGTCGGTGGGACTGAGAAGGGCACCAGCTGAACAACGACACGACGTCTTAGAGATATGGGCGCTGTGACTTGTGATTTGTGATGTGTCCTGTACCCTGAAATCCCGGGTATAGCTGAAGTGAAGTGTTGGTTTTGAGAGACCTACTCGCAAGAAATTGCGGCCCCTGGGTCAGTAACCCCTAAGTAAAGCCGGCTTCCCAGCGAGTTATGACGAGTTGGCCTTCTTGCTTCCTCGAGATGATGATGGCCTGTGCAGATTGCTTTAGGGTGTTAGGGACAACAAACCAGAAGTGATGTGAAAGTCGACAGGGTTCTGACGCCCCCGAACGTCAAGACCATGCCAAAACCTGAAACCCTAAACCCTTAGCACCCCCCAAAACAGAGCAAGCCTAAGCCCTTATCCTCGAAGCTACTACCCCTTAACCGCTCGAGCCTTGACCCTTCATCCTGAATCCCTATTGAAGCCGGATAAAACCATTTGGGAGTTTCAGATAATAGGGGGTACCTTATTTTGGGGGGTCCTTATGATAAGGATCCTACTATTTAGGGTACTATGTTAGGTTCCCCTATTTTCGGAAAGTCCCATAAAAGCCCGCAAAGAACGTTGGCTTGAAGAGCCCACGAAGCCGTGATGCCGCCAAGGAGCCCCCAGCGGGACGCAGCGGATAAGGAGCACTCGTGTCGCATTTTCCCCTGAAGCCCCAAAACCACAGCTGCTAAACCCTGAACTCTGTGCAATAAAGCCCTGAACGCCCTCACATTTCTCAGAGAAAGCCTATGAGGGTGAACCTTATATCCCTCTCATATTGTATTATAGTATAGCAGACGACAGTATAATTAACCATAATTTACCAGAACATCCTACAGTATACTATGATATACTCCATTCTACCAAAAAAAATGCTATAATACACCATGATACACTGTAACATACTCTCATTTACCATAATAAACCATTTGGTACCATAACATGCGATAAGAAGCCCTGAAGAAGGAGCTCCGACTCCTCTCAAGCCGAGCCCTGCTCCCGCTCAGCCACCTGCAGCTGTCGGGGCCCCGCTTCTTGCGGCAAAGGCTTTGGGTTTAGGGTTCAGGGTTCAGGGGTTTAGGGTTTAGGGTTTAGGAATTAGGGTTTAGGGTTTAGGGTTTAGGGTTTAGGGGTTCAGGGTTTCAGGGGTTCAGGGTTTAGGATTTAGGGTCTAGGGTCTTAGGGTTTAGGGGTTCAGGGATTTGGGGTTTATGACATTGGGGAGTTTAGGCTTTCGACTTCGGCCTGTAGGGTTTTAGGGTTCAGCGACTTCGATTTTGTAGTGTCTCAACGGTGTGCAAGCGTTCCATCAGAAAGGTCGGGGGCGCCTAAGTTTAGGTTTCTCAAAAATTCTGCATGGGTATTCTATGTAAGGTTGTAAGGCAGGCAACTGGATGTAAAAGTGCTCATAATCCTGCACATAACTATTCAGGTATAGCTGGCGGCAAAAAGGAAGGCGTCAAAACACCAAAGAACCACATATGTTTAAGCCTTCGCTCAGCTGGGGGTTTTGTGCCTTAGACCCTCAAGCCCATTCGGAACAATCACCTTCCAGTCCCGATAGTACCGTTTACTCCGAAACTCTTGTCTGATTATTGCAGCTCCTTGGCTAAACTGCATGAGACTATATGAAAACCATACATTCCTGTACGACCTTATCAACACCTTATACAAGGTTTACAGCGTCTGGCCTTTAGACAAATCCCACAAGAGGATTGCGATGGCGGCAGTCACAAAGCTTGTCTCTAGTCACGGCTTTGGCTGCGGCGTTGAAACCGGAGCCGCACACCTCAGGGAGATGGAAAAAATTCCGAAGGCGTCGATTCTCGACGGGCGTTCGCATGAGCCCGAAGCCCGCGTACCGCGCCTGAGTCTTCGACAAGCTCCGCCGTGCAGTTGAACGGACGTACCGAGCGTGGACCTTCAACAAGCCTTGGTAGTACTCGTAGTAGTAGTACCAGTAGTACCAGTGGTAGTCGCAGTCGTTCGTAGTTGTAGTACTCGTAGTAGTAGTAGTAGTAGTAGTAGTAGTAGTAGTAGTAGTAGTAGTAGTAGTAGTAGTAGTAGGAGTAGTAGTAGCAGTAGTAGTACACCCCCCCCCCCCGCCTCCCCACGCCTCCGCCCACGGGGTGGGGGGGGTTGTTGTTCCCCAAATCCACGAACAACAACCCCCCCCACCCCTCCCTATCGAAGCGGTCTCTTCAAAGGCACCATAAAGCACCCTACACCCTAACCCTAAACCCTAATCCCTAACCCCTAAACCCTAATACACCCTAAACCCTGACCCCTAAACCCTAAACCTACAAGAGAAAGGAAAAACAAAAACACCAGAAAGCCTGTGAGGCCCAGAGTGCCTAGCGACCTGGTCCTCTCTGGGACGCCTCCGCCATGAGCCGGAGCCGCTGAGGTTCGCTTTAAGGGGCTTTAGAGGT